TTTTTTTTTTTTTTTTTTATTTCTTCCCGGTTTTGCTGAATCTCTAAGGGCAGTGATTATTGAAAGGCTTTTGGCATAAGTAAGGTAGATCCTTTGTTGGTGGTGTTTTGTGTGTAGCAGGCTGGCAAGCTGTAAGGTATTTTTCACACTTCAGGTTTCAAATCCAGCAGAATCTTTCTTGGAGTGAATGTAACGCTGCGAATCTGGAGCAGGCTAGTGAGGCACCACATAGGGATAGGTTCAGATCATCTGGTTGGAAAATAGATTTACTCAACTGCCCAAGGGACTCTTCTTGTTTTGGTTGCTGCATTTCATGATGTCCTCACTCTTCTTCAGTTTAGTCTGAGAATTACTGAGCTATAGGAATTTCTGAAGGGAATAGGGAATAGCCAAATACCGCTCTGCAATTGAAGAGGGTGACACAGAGGAAAGGAAGACTTTTGAACTGCAAAAGAAAACCATTGTGGGAAGAGTATGTGATTATAGACTCCTGTTCTTGGAGTCGCACTTCAGAGGCTGAAAGAGCTTAGCTCATGATGATCTGTTTTCTGAATATCTGCATGTAGTTAGACACACACAGATATGCAATATATGTGTCTTTTGTCTGAATTAAAATGACTCTGGATCTCGCATCTTATTGTTGGACCAGCACTCTTAAAGGCAAACAGCAAAGTACAAAAAACCCCACATGATCAACTTTTACTTCTTTGTGACATACAAAGAGTATTTTGAACATGTTTTAAAACAGTGGGGGACGACCTTTTAGGCAAGGGTGCCACAAATTATCCCTGCATTCTTCCCAAGTTTCACTCTGATTCCCTTCCCCTTCCCGAACCAGGTGGTTTGCTTTCTGCTTCCTATTCTGTGTTACCTGCCTGATCTGGCGTTCTTGCTTTTTTTCTGTCTGCCCTATCTGTCACTGTGCTGCTTATCCCTTCCCTAGTCTGACATGGAGCCTCCCCATGCTACTTTTGTGGTATGTGTGTTGCAGGGTGGCCAAGCCTGTTTTTGAAAGTTGATTTGTGGCACTTGTTCATTTTTATTTTACCTTTTTAAAATAAAAATGTCATATTCTCTATTCCCTTCACTTTGCTCAGGGAAATTCGTTGAGGACTTGAGTAGTAGTTATAGAAGGCTTTTGTCTGATCTATACTTTGCCATCCTGTATGAAAAGAGATGAACTGTTAGCTTGTGGCCTAAGGTCCACTTTGAAGTTTACTCTCCACCCTTTAGGGTAAGCCGTTACAAAAAAAAGTGTGCCCCCAAACATTTTTACATGAAAAATACTGTCAAAGGGAAGTAAGTTATAAACATAGTTATTACTTTTTAAATTAATCTTTTAAAATATTTTTAATTCTTTCTTCCTTGGCTTGTGGTTTTTTACTGGGAAAGATTTACAAATAATAGGGAGGAAGATGAGTTTCTTATTAAGTGTATAATAAATGCTGTGTTTATTGTAAAATGCTTTTTCTAGGAAAAAGTAAGTATCCATATTTCTTTCTGTGTGCAATGTGTTATGAAAAAAACTGGCTCTATTAACCTATTTGGTCAAAGGTTATTTCTTCGAATCACTGTAAATGAAAGTAGCTCACTCCAAAGAGAGGCTGAGAGAGACTAATAATGAAATAAAAATGTAGCAGACTACACCTAATATTGAGGTTTTCATCTATAGTGTCTTTATTAATCTTTAACCTCAAGGGAATCCATATATGTTGTATACTGGCCGAGTCACTTATTTTTACAGAATAAATGTTTCATTTTGTTCTGCTAGGTAATGCTATAGCCCTGAGCAAATATAAAATGTGTGGTATGTACTGTATTACAAATAATAAAATAGATTTAGAGATTTGAAGTGGGAAAAGTAATTTCTTTAAGAGTCTGATCCAAAGCCAAGGGGAACAACTGTAATGACTTCCGCAGACTTTTCATTATCATCATTTCCATTTCTTCTCAGTTGTATATCAAATCATAGGACACAAGCAAACTCCTGTTGAAGCAAAGGTATACTTGATCCTACCTACTTCACTGCAGAGGTGGAGTGGGCAGGTGGGCTGGATTACATGCTAAGATCTTGTTCCAATCTACATTCTTATCATAAATTCAATTTATGTTAACAATAATATGAATTAAGTTTGAACTTCATTCTGGATACAGTATAGTCTAACAGCTCTTTTTGTGCATGTCTAGGAAATACAACGTGATTCAAATCAAGATCACAAACTGGAACATTCACCATTTCATTCAGGAGACATCTTTAATGAAGATAATCTTCTGAATGATCAATTCATTGATATACTGTCTTTTGAAGAGACTGGAAAGATGCTTCAAGCTTTAGAAGAGTAAGTATTCACAATTCTTGCATTACATTTTATCACAAGGGTTGGCAAAATACAGCCTGCCAAGGGATTTGATCCAGCCCATGGTGGTTCCTTTAGCCCTGCCTGACCCAGCCATAGGGGCCAGCCTGGGCCATGACACAACTGGCCTGTCCCACTCCTCCCATGTGCACAGTGGGGTGGGGGGAGTACAGTTGCTAGACTGGGTTTCCTGGCAGCCCGCGTGGTGCAGCTCACTCTGGCTTACTGTCTCTGCCAGTCCACCCGACACCCACCACTGGGGTTGCCAGACAGCTGATGGGAGACTGGCCCACCCCCGCAGACAGGGTGCGTTCAGACAGGCAAATGGGATAGGGCCATGGGAAGGTGGGGAGCCATGTTGGGGACAGGTGCTGGCTGGGGTTGGGACTGGGATCGCGGGGTGGTGACAGTGTGTGGCCGGGGTCTGGGATAGTGCCACGATTCACCTCCAGAATATCCATGCCCGCAAAACTAGCACCCATCACAGGGACATGCGGGGAGTGGATCACGACTGCCCCAGGCCCCAGCCCTGTGCTGTCACCACTCTGCAATCCTGGCTGCACCTGCTGTTATGCTCCTGGACACCGCTCCCCACCCACCTGCAGCCCCATCCCATCCTCCCAGACAAGCACACTCTGCCTGAGCAGGTCCCAGGCCAGTCTCAATGGAGACCCCCCCCCAGTCCATCCAGCACCCCCAGTGGTGGGTGTGGGGTGGATGGCACAGGGCCAGATAGGACCAATGCTACCCCCCACACTGTCAGACCAGGTCAGCACCACCCTCCACCCCTCCAACAGCTCACCGAAACTGTAAGTGGCTTTCCAGCCCAAATAATTGCCCACCCCTGCTTTATCGGCAAAACCTCTTGGACGCATGGTTTTGAATATCGATTCCTTAATTCTCTCAGACAAATTCTGTTAAGTATGTCTATATTATCTAAGGCTTTTGAAACTTTCATTAAATAGTCAACCACATGAAATAATGCAGTCATATTTTAGAGTACTTTTCAAGAAGAAATTGTTGCTTTATCTAGATCTCAGGCACGTGAGTTTTCCAAATTGGATCAACTTTTAGTTTACTAAAAGAATAGATCTAACCCTCCTGCCTTTAGTTCCTTGAACACACAGTATTTATCACATAAAGAGACACTTTTGCAAGGGGAAGACAATGTTGTAGAGCGTATATTTTATTATGACTGAACACACTTTGCTTTCAAAACAACCTGGCCTTTATCGTATGTAGAAAAAGGGTCCCCACCAGATGCATCTTTTATTGTGCTGCAGGATTTCTTGGCTTTTTTTCAGAGTGCCTTTCATGGCCTTTGTGTGCTTTGATATACCTGGATCAGATCCTAGAGAATGACAATTTGCAGTACAGAAAAGAAAATATTATCTAGATGGTATCAGAAAAGTCTCTGGGCAGAAGCTAGAAATGTTGCCTATTTTGTTGAAAGGCAGGTCAAGATTGTATGACAGACAATGAAGCTAGTAAAGGTCATCTATTTATTCAGCAGAATTTGGTGAAATGTCTGATGTGAAAACTGAGTGGATTTTGTTTGTTCAATCTCATGATCATCTTCTTGAAAATCAAGTAATAATTTGCAAGTAGTTTACTACAAATGCAATAACAGCATGTAGAACCTGAAAGCAAAGTTATGGGAGCATTGGAGTGTGTGCTCACTTTCTGGTTTTGGTTTTCCTGGAAAGTAGCAGATTGTAATGAACAGCTACATTTTTTTGATTAAAAGGAGGAAGTTAAAAAAAATTGAACATAGTCTTCTGAAATGTAGTAATAATATGGGTACTTATTCCTGTTTATTTCTGAGCAGTCTTTGCTGTTGTAGCTGATATAGCTGCTATAAACTATAACAGCAAAGACCTGTTTTCCCCCCTAGAACATAGCTGTTTGGTTCTTAAGAATTGCAGGATTAAATAAATACCCTTTTACTTCATTGTAGTGTTAGTTTATTTGTTGGGGATAAGAAAGAGGATTACTTTGTCTGGGGGTTGGGGGGAGAGGGGAAAATGGTTGTATTTTCACACATGCAACCCACACCTCTTTTCCAAAAATGTGCTGCTGGGAATTGGGGTGTACATTTTAAGCAAGGAAATATAATAATATTAGCTTCTGCAGAATGTGACTTGGTGGTGGGGGGAGAAGCTAGGCATAGGGTGGTAAGAGGACATTGCAGTGAGTGCTGTGAAGAAATCCTCTTCTATCTGTTCCTGGTCTAAGACCCATCCCCCTCCCCCATTGTGCCCAGACCCTTTGTCTTAACCTGTGGAAATAATTTGATAACTGTGGTCACTCCACCAAGGACTGCTGACCACTTTTAAAATGATTGGTTTGCATCCGCAGGGTTCAAATAATGCCTGTTTCTGGTTGGAACCAATGACGAGGTCAGAAAAGTTATTTAAGGGTCAGGCCACCTGGTCTCAGAGAAACTGCTCCTCAGGAAGTCATTTTGGAAATGCACACAGAAGCATGGGGGACAGAGAGAGGAGGATTTCTTTACAAGCACCATGTGGGGCAGTAATAGCTGCTGGCTGTGGATAGTAGGAAGCTGTCCCTCGGAGGCTTGAGCTGCAGAAGCTGCTATTGGCTTTGCTGTATATTTAAAACAGAGGCAAGCCCAGAGTGCTGGACCAGCAACACCTCCTGAATTAGCTGGGTGGTCCCTCAGCTGAATTTCCAGTTGCCGCTGGCCAGGATCAGGATCTCATCTGCCGTGGCAGGTACTGCTGATGCCCACCCAGCTCAGCTTGAGAAGAGAAGAGGGGGTCAGGAAGTCTGGCTTGGTGAGCAGTACCTGTAGCATCCTGCAGTTAGGAGGTTAACAGAGTAGCCATAAAGTTTTGTTCCCCCCTTACTACAGTTGCCTTCATTTCCCCTGGGAAAATATCTTACGTAGCAGTATTTTCACAGACAGATTTTTTTTCTTTATTCTGCCTTTTGAAAACAAGATGCACATCTGTTTATTTGGAGGTGTATTATATGTGAGAAAATAAGGTATTTAATGGATGTTTTGCATCTAAGATATGCAGTAGCTGAGAAGGGTACAGATGCTTGCAATCCCCTTCAATAGGATTGTTTATATATCTGGACTTGTACAATGGCATTAAAACCTCAGCTTGTCTTGGGGAATATACATTTTTAAACAGTCTTCATTTTAAAAACAAACCTTTGTCATACTTTTAACAGCTTTCCTTACAAATTATTTTCCTTTTCTGCTGCTCATTAGTCATGTTTCTTTCAGTCCCATTTATCTTTCCTTTCCCCAGCCCTTTCCCTCAGCTGACAGTTTGAATTTCTATAATTGCTTTTAATGTTTTTTATCATAATATGAAAAAGCTTTCTGCGGCAGTAGTAGAATTTGTATACAGAACACCTATAATCTAGTGAAGCTTCAAGGGAGGTCTTCTAAAAAAAAATCTTTGACAGGCTGTTTTGAGAGCTGTTTAGCCACGGGGCAGCATACGTGTGGAAAATGTTGTTAAATGCCTAAGGGCTAAATTCTCTTTCCCCTTCACACACCTTAGCGGCATGGGCTAAGCATGGCTGAGATTGCTCTGCAACCCTCCCCTTGCAGCTGGCCGACTGTGTCTTGCATTTAATATTCATTTGATAAACAGCTTTAGGGAGAAGAGACTTAGGCTGTAACCCAGGGCCTCTTCCCTTCCAGAGAAGCATCCATCTAATTGACATGCACTACCCCTGGTATGCTCTGCTTCTAGCTTCAGATATCTTCCCCACTGGACTACCCAGTGACCAGCTTCGACTGGAGGTTCCTCTAGGCAGTCTGCCCTATCGCCTGGTCGCTGGAATTCTTTACTGAGAACCAGCAGTCACAGGTTCAAAATCCCCATAGGTGAGGAGACCGAGAATCCAAGTCTCCCTGGGCAAGTGCCCTATTCACCATGGTATTGGGCTAAATGATGGCAGAGTCCTCCTCTTCTGGTGTCAGATACCCACTAGTTTTGGTTTTGCTGCAACTGAAGTTTTGGGGCTTGCTGAGATTTACATGCATGCCTAGGCAATTCTGTTCTCTTCAGGCAGCTATGTGACCATTATACAGCCTATTGAACATGCACAGTAGGAAAGCAGGATGTGAGCTTAGCTACCCTGAATCCCAAACTATGCAAAAGTACAGGGAAACTACAGCTACATTAGTGCCACTTCGACACGTGAAGGGGAAGTATGTTCTGTCTGTAAGTGATCTGGCTTCCATAGTTGGTTTGTTGAGTTGGCAATTTGCTTCAAAGCAGAAATGCAAAATAATGACCTACCCCTCTGAAATGTTCAAACAAGAAAAGAAGGGTTTTTTCCCCAGCTCTAAAATAAGAGAAAACAGCCTGTATGGGCTTAAAGAGCAGCAGTAGAAAGGCCTGCTTTTCCTTGGTTACTGCATTGTTCCCCCTTCCATGCTGCACAGGCATGTTCCCTGCCTACATACACACACACAACCAGTGGCATGACAGAGTTGGCACCCAGGGCAAACCCTGCAGGAGAGTGAGGGGGCGTGGGTTGGTGTGCAGTTCCAAGGGCCGGGTTACACTGGTTCTGAGTGCCAGGGGCACATGGGTTCTGCGAGCAGGGTGGGGGCGCACAAGTGCTGAGAGTGGGGGCAGGAGAACAGGAGCTTTACCTATGCTGGCACTCCTGAACAGTCTTGACTGAGATGCTGTTGCGGCTGCAACACATGCTCTGCCTGCCCTAGCTGTTGCTCTTAAAGAAGCAGCAGCAGCAGCAGCAGCAGCAGCAGCAGCAGCAGC